GAGAGAGAGAGAGAGAGCGAGAGAGAGAGAGAGAGAGAGAGAGAGAGAGAGAGAGAGAGAGAGAGAGAGAGAGAGAGAGAGACAGGAGAGAGACAGGAGAGAGAGAGGAAAGAGACAGGAGAGAGAGAGAGAGAGAGAGAGAGAGAGAGAGAGAGAGAGGAGAGAGACAGGAGAGAGAGAGGAAAGAGACAGGAGATAGACAGGAGAGAGACAGGAGAGAGACAGGAGAGAGAGAGAGACAGGAGAGAGACAGGATAGAGACAGGAGAGAGAGAGAGACAGGAGAGAGACAGGGGAGAGACAAGAGATAGACAGGAGAGAGACAGGAAAGAGAGAGAGACAGGAGAGAGACAGGAGAGAGACAGGAGAGAGACAGGGGAGAGACAGGGGAAAGAGAGAGACAGGAGAGAGACAGGAGAGAGACAGGAGAGAGACGGGAGAGAGAGAGACAGGAGAGAGACAAGGGAGAGACAGGAGAGAGAGAGAGACANATGTCCTCGGTGTACCTGGCATGGTTCCTGCACAGCCGCAGCGAGCCTCTTTGGAGCCTCCGCCGGAGCAGAAGGAGCAGCAGTGGAAGGTCCCGACGTGATGCCTGAACTTCCTCTTCACATTCAGGGGAAACGGAGAGCCCTGCAGGACAGGAGAGAGACGGGAGAGAGATGGGAGAGAGACAGGAGAGAGACGAGAGAGAGACAGGAGAGAGACGGGAGAGAGACAGAGAGAGAGAGAGAGAGAGAGAGAGAGAGAGAGAGAGGAGAGAGACAGGAGAGAGATGGGAGAGAGACAGGAGAGAGACGGGAGAGAGACAGGAGAGAGACGAGAGAGAGACAGGAGAGAGACAGGAGAGAGATGGGAGAGAGACAGGAGAGAGACGGGAGAGAGACAGGAGAGAGACAGGAGAGAGAGAGGGGAGAGACAGGAGAGAGAGAGGGGAGAGACAGGAGAGAGACAGGGGAGCGAGAGACAGGGGAGAGACAGGGGAGAGAGAGAGAGAGACAGGAGAGAGACAGGAGAGAGAGAGAGACAGGAGAGAGACAGGGGAGAGACAGGGGAGAGAGAGAGACAGGAGAGAGACAGGGGAGAGAGAGACAGGAGAGAGACAGGGGAGAGACAGGAGAGAGAGAGAGAGACAGGGAGAGACAGGGGAGAGACAGGAGAGAGACGGGGGAGAGAGACAGGAGAGAGACAGGAGAGAGACAGGGGAGAGACAGGAGAGAGAGAGACAGGGGAGAGACAGGGGGAGACAGGAGAGAGACAGGGGAGAGAGAGACAGGAGAGAGACAGGAGAGAGACAGGAGAGAGAGAGAGAAAGGAGAGAGACAGGAGAGAGACAGGAGAGAGACAGGAGAGAGAGAGAGACAGGAGAGAGAGAGAGACAGGAGAGAGACAGGGGAGAGACAGGAGAGAGAGACAGGGGAGAGAGAGACAGGAGAGAGACAGGGGAGAGAGAGAGACAGGAGAGAGACAGGGGAGAGACAGGGGAGAGAGAGAGACAGGAGAGAGACAGGGGAGAGACAGGGGAGAGACAGGGGAGAGAGAGACAGGAGAGAGACAGGAGAGAGAGAGAGAAAGGAGAGAGACAGGAGAGAGACAGGAGAGAGACAGGAGAGAAACAGGGGAGAGACAGGGGAGAGACAGGGGAGAGAGAGACAGGAGAGAGACAGGAGAGAGAGGAGAGGGAGAGGGACAGGAGAGAGAAAGTGGGTCTCTCAAAACAAGCCAAATAAAAACTGAAAACACCTCAAACTGTCTTTCACTGATCAAGCATCCCAGACGGTAAATGTTACATCTGAGGCATCCTGTTGAATGATGTTTTTCCTGAAGAACATTTAGTCCACGCTGATTTAAATTTGTCAGGATGATGTTGGAAGCCCTGAGGCGGTACGCTGCGAGCTGCTGAGCCTCACTTCATATTCAAATATTCAAAACATGCCCTCTCCAGCTGCAACACATAATTAATAACTGTTTATATAGTTGTAATCGTGTGAAATGCCATTGCATTGATTTGAAACATGAATTGTTATTGGCTTATATGTTGACATCTCATCGAGTCAGTTTCGTACCTTGACATGTTGAGCTTTGACACACACCCACACTGAGTAGGCTCCCGTCTCTTCAGGTGTGTATGACACGCTGTAGGATCCATCGCTGTTGTCAACCACCGTGCTCTCCATTGTGCTGAAGGAAAGGAAAACACATCATCCTGTTAATACTACACAATATCATGGAGAACATTTTACAGATTTGTAATATTAAGAGCTCTGATTTCCTGCATTTTATCCCCTTTCTTAAGCTCAAATCTTTGCTGAGATCTGATTCTGAATCAGCTGATTCTTAGATCAAGGGAGATTTTTGAAACAATCTTTAGAAAAATTATTCTCCAACAATCAACCAGTGAACAACACAGATTCATATATATTGATATCCTATTTGCACAACAAATCAGCTACTACATAATGCTTTTGATCAATTACAGTTCAAATGACTTAAACCGTTTTCACTGTCTCCAAATGTGCTGATTATTTTTACTCCAAAAAACGAGGCGCCTGGGATGAAACTGAGATGAAACCAAGTGTGACTGTGTGCTTACTTAGTAACAGCTTGGCACTGGTTGCAGTATATTTTTACTAAAGTAATCACAAGAGATGTTGTGTGAGTAATTGTGGTTTAATAATGCACGTCACTCACATTACACACTGTAGATGGAGCACATGGCTGTGTGAGAGTTAATAAACTAAAAGGGCAGGCAGTCATGCATGCAAGCTGTTGAGGATAACTGATGAGGGTAATAACCAGATATTAATCAGACAACCTGGCGTTACCATTAATGGAATTAAACAGCTTTTTCTCTCGTTGATGAATGTTAAATTAAAGTGAAACCTGATCAACAGTTGTTATGTGCTTTTGGAGAGGCTGAAAGGGTGCAGCTCCTCCAACCAAAGTGATAAATATAGCACACTACACAGGTGGGGGGTGTTCTGTTGACCTGCTCTGAGCAGCTGGGTGTAAAAAAAAAAACCTTCACACCAAAACTGCAGTGTGTGGCTGGACTGTCAACCAACCTCACTGTGTCCCATGAAAATAGCACAAATTGTAGCCGTCACTTCCTCCCGGACACTTCACGTCACAATAGTCACACCCCTCACCATATCTAACATTTCTGGTTGCCCTTTATTTTTGTTTCATTAACCCCATCACTGAACATTTTAAGATCTGTATAACATTTCCATACATGTATAATGTATTTTTAAAACAAGAAAGTGTATTTGCTATCAATAATAATTAGAAAACGTATAATAATGATAATAATAATAATAAAATACAAATAATAATACTGACTAGGTTTTTCCGATCTACCAGAAACTAACTGACAGTTGCTGAAAAAATAAATTTTTATAGTCTGGTGGAAAGAAAAACATTATTATTTGCCCTTAGTTCATGCTGTAGAGAATTCCAAAGCAGAACATTTCTCAAAAAGCTTAAATGTCAGACTCTCACCAGTTTTTCTTCTCCTTGTGAACGATGCTGATCAGGACATGCTCTCCTCCTCGAGCCAGCTGCTCCCCCGCTGAGTCTCTGCACACCAACACGAAGAGACCCTGCTCCCCCTCAGTGCCCCTCTGCAGACCTGAGAGCAGTGAGGTGAGGTCAGAAGTCATGCACAGGTTGTAAACACAAGGGGCTGAAGGACAGATATACACAAACACTCCTATCATGGTTTAAAAGAGGCCCTATAACGCTCTTGGGGGTTTTACCTTTCCTGTAGTGTGTTATAAAGGCTTGTGTGCATGTTAATGGTCTGCAAAGGCTAAAATCCCTGTGTTCCCACCAGAGGGAGTTTCTCTCCCACACACATACCCCCAGCCTGAAAAGCTGGACTGAAAATGGACTCCTTTTATTACTTCAGGAACATAGTGACCTAACTATGTAACACTCTATATTGGCTAGTGCTCTACGTCTACGTGATAGGCTAAAGGGCAGGACATCACATTAAAGCATGTTAACATGGGCCCCTTTAAATGTGATCCCACACGTACTTCACAATAAAAGTGGCACTTCTGATACACCACAAAAGGAGACACTTCAATATTTGTCTACAAACTACAGTGACAAACAATCTCACACAAAACAACCTCCCACTGCTTACTGAAGCGACATCCCCTTTAAACATGTGCTGTTTGCAGTCAGTGTAAGTGACTCCAGGCCCAGCTGAGCTTCAGTGCTGCTGACCGGAGTTTTTCCAAACCCTCACATCATTACTTAGTGTTTCATTAACTTGTACCGCTGTGCCCCAGGGACACACTCGCTGAGGATATTCATCAGCTGCTGTGGCGTTAAAGCAAACATCATTTGTGTTCCTATGGATGATTTATGTTGTTTTGCATTTTCTTGTCAGAATATTAGCCGCAGGATAACTAACGATGGTTCACTTTGTATTTGTGTTATTATTCAGAGTTTTCCAGGAGCTGCAGGAGCGTCTCTTTAGACGCTGTAGGAGTTGCTAATGCTGCTTATGAAGCTACTAATTAAGTTTCTCCTCCGTCTATTTCTATAACAATACTCATGTTAATCTAATCTGTTTATGAAGCTATGTTTGCTAATACTGCACTGTAACTACTACTGCTTGCATCAATGGTGCTAATTCTGCTCATCCGTTTTATAAGAACTTGTGTGAAACATGTTCATTTGTTTTATTAATATGAGAGGATTTAATCTAATGTCTGCTTTAAAGAGGCCCAATTAAGCATTTTGTGGTTTTCTCTTTCCTGTTGTGTGTGATATATATCACAACAGAGACGGCCAGCTAACCAATCAGAGCAGACTGGGCTCTGGTTTCAGACAGAGGGTGAAAAGAGGTGCTGCAGCACAGGCAGTATCAGAAAAATAAAGAGCTTTTTGAACATTATTTAAGTATCCCGGTAATGTATGTTGCATGTTTTAAATGTATTGTATTTACTTACTGAAATGTGTTTTAGGTTGACTTTTAAAATCTGTCCAGGGACTACAGATGAAAAATAGCCTCTTGGCTAACTCTGGCACATTTACAGAAATGTTCATTAATGTGCACTGTCCCTAAAAAATGGAAGCATGGAAAACATGTAAAAATACGAATATAGACCTGAGAATGAGCGTAATTTGGCCCCTATAGGAAGAAACTGTGGCTGAATATTTAGCTGCAACTACATAAATCTAAACATATAAAGGAAGATGTTCCTCTGCGTTTTTGTTGCTATTAATCAAATATAGGATTGCTGGCAACAATTACAACCACTGCCATTGCTAAAGCCTCTTGCGACGACTACAATTACTGTCACTTGGACCAGTGGCCCATTACTACTATCGCTGCTGCTGCTAATGGGCGGGAATTATCTGTGAATTGATGTGTGTGTGCCTGCTAAGCCGAGTACCCAGCAGCTGTCGTCGCAGCTGTTCTGGCCCACATTTCACCTGTGCTGCACTCCAAATCCACCACTTTAAGCCCACTTATCACACAGAGGGGGTAATCGCCAGTGAGCCTCAGTGATTTCTGCTTTCTAATAGTCAACATAGAAATCTGGCCCTTATCTGCCACCCTTAAATAAAAGAGTCACACCACATAAAGATGATTGTGTGGGATAAAAGTTCACTTGGGAGGTACAAACAACTTAAAGCTGGCTTAATGTGATACCGTGGATTTATAAAGCACAATGCTACATAAGAAAAAGAGTAGTTACGAAAAGAAAGTGTGGATCAATTGAAAGTTTTCCGCTTTATATAGCTTTACACACACAGTTTGTTACTGTCAAAAGCTAACACCCAAACAAATACTTGACACAATACATGTCAACGAACAATACACTTTGACAGACAGAGGACTGAAAATCCTTATTTGCCGAGATTTCCCACTTCCTACACAGGTAAACACTACTTAAAGTGTTCCATTGAGGCACGCTGTTACACATCTGTGTGTGTGTGTGTGTGTGTGTGTGTGTGTGTGTGTGTGTGTGTGTGTGTGTGTGTGTGTGTGTGTGTGTGTGTGTGTGTGTGTGTGTAAACATCCCCTCAGTGCTTTCAGGCTTGTTGAGTCACCTCTACATTCCTCAGTCCCACAGGATCCTTTGAGCTGAAGCACCCAGGAAGGTAACAATTTAACTTCTACCAGGAACTCATGGGGGGGCGAGGGCGTCTACAATGACCCCCCCCATCCTGCTGCAAGTACTTCCACTGGGTGACTCCCACTAGAAATAGTTTGGGCATTCTTCCCTTCTGGCTAAATAGCCCCAGAGGAAAAGAGATATCTAACATATTAGATGCTCTGAACAACAAATGCATCCACGAAACTGAATGGATGATACATGATTTAAAAAAACGTGAACACTGTGATGACCAAGATTGTATTACTAAGTGTGTTAATAAAGTGTAATATTTATTTGTCTTATGGTTAAGTAATCACCAAATCACCTTCTTTATAGAGCCTGTCGATACCAGCCTAAAGCCAAATGGATTTATATCAAATTCAATAAAATAGCTACTTACTGAAAATATTGGAAATACATGATTTTCATTTCAATGTAATATTTATATACAAAGAAATGGAAAAAAATTTTTTAATATACTTTATTGTTATTTATTACTATGACCATTATGTGTATTTGTACGAACAGTATTCACTTTAATTCAAATGATGTCATGTTGACTGATGGACTTTATATTTAATCATTTATTTTAGCGTTGTCATGTACATTTTCTCTGCTGTTGAGTTTCTGTTGTTGTGGTTTTTTTGTGTGGAAAACGAATAAATACAATGGTGAAAAAAATAAATAACGAAACACCTGTGGTGTACCATCATGCTGACACAACTGCATGCATTCATTTGGTTTACCTTCTCCTTCGATGGTGCACTTGCTGAGGTCCACCGTCTTGGCGTGGATCACCCCGACCACCGGGAAGCCCCCCACCTCCCCTGCCGGCTCCCAGGACAGGAAGCTGATGCTGCTGCCGTCGTCGAGGGCGACAGCCTCTGGGGGGGGGTCGTAGCTGCTCTCTGCCAGGCTGGTCAGTCTCCTCAGAGTCACTCCTTTAGCGCTCAGGATCTCAGCGTCTGACCCACAGCTCAGCAATCTCTCCGCAAACTCCACACTGCCGCCGACGTCCAGCAGAGCCTGCTGCAGCTGCGCCTGCTGCAGGTGGAGCTGGTTCCTGTCGGACAAACACTCAGTGAATAACAAGCAGCTTCTGAACTGTGAACCAAGGGGGCATGTTGATATATATTAAAGTGAAAGACGCAGTACATTCTTCTATGAAAATACAGCCTGCCTTATGTTTCTTGAACTTTTTCTAAACACCTTCTTACATAACCTTCCTTCTCACAATCCATTAATTTCTTGAAAGAAATATTAGTTTCTCATTACTTTTCTGAAAACTTCTCATAGGGTGTGGTTTTCAGAATGAATTTATTATCTCTTAGTCAATTCACAGAAGCACATTTTCATACTGAGCATGACATTTCATATCTTTACATTAGAAATTAAAGTAATCGTTGCAGATTCAGACCCTGAGTTGAGATTGAAAGCAAGATGTATTGATATTATTACCACAGAACCATACTTACTTGTAAAGTAAGGGTGTCATTTACTTGCCATAATAATAATGTAATCATTCGTACCTGCGTTGGACTCGGAGCTCCTCCAGGCGGTGCAGCAGAGAGAGACAGTGAGCCTCCACAGCGCTGGCGTAAGCTCGAGCAAACGCCCTCACTTCGTTCGCTGTTGCATCCACCCGTTCCTTCAAAGCCTCCTGGGATATTTCCACCTGTAGCACAGTGGAAAGAATGTCTTATGTTCTGTTTGTGTTGCGTGCCAACTTTTTAAAGCACTTTGAGCTACATCCTGTGAATGAAAGAGGTATACAAACACAGCTTTATCATTATAAACAGTTTGTTACTTGACAGCACTTAAAGGTGGCATAGGTGGTGATTCAGCCTGTTTATAAGTATGTTTTATAAAGTGATTTAAAGATGAAACTGATTTTGCAAACTTCAAGAAGTTTGTTCCACAGTAACAGAGAAAGTAAAATGTTAAGTCGTGAGCCTAGAGACAAGGCTCAGTGCACTTTCCCTTTTCTAAGCCCAAGTCTGAATGAACCCCACTCTGTTGCACCTTCAGCATGGAGTCCTTCAGGCGCTCCATGCGAGGTCGCAGGCGCACCGTGACCAGCTCTCGGATGCTGTCTCCATGGCGATTGATCACATTTTGAGTGGGGCAGCAGCGGTGGTCTCGGTGCAGCGTGGCGGCACACTCCAGACAGACGGGGAGGTCGCAGGGCTGGCAGAAGAGCCGCAGCTCCTGACCCGGGTGCAGGCCGCAGAGGACGGGCCGGCTCAGAGACCCGCCGGACTTCAGGTCCTGCAGACTCTGGACGGAGTGAGACGCCGTCCGCTTCTGACGCCTGCAGACAGAGAGAGATAAACAAACATGTCTGTATGTTAGAGAAAAGGTCAAGTTCAAAGTCCGATGTGATAGAAACTTTCTTTACAACAAAGGGGTTTAACAACAAGTGTCACACCCAAACAATAAACAAAAATTACAGGCAAAGATGGATTGGTGGAAGAAGTATGCAGATTGCTTTATTAGCTACCAATATATTAATTTCAAAATACTTAATTATGAGTAAAAGTCAAGATTCAAAAAGTTAACTTAAGAAAAAGTACAGAAGTATTGTCAGCTAAACGTTACGATGAAATACTCATTCCGAAAAATGCTTCCATATGTGTACGTTATTATTAGATTAGATTGTAAATATTGGGGCCACAAGTATAATTTTACTGTTCTGTTAGTTACACAAACTATGTTTGGGACTTTCTTTCTTAACTTGTTGTAAAGTAATAGATATTTTTCCTTTTTCTACCTCAAACTGTTAATCCATTGGTTTAATCTTTAGAGATGCAAAATGTTTAAGTTTAACACATGCCTTTTTTAATGCAAAATTTGAATCTGAAAAGTAAAAAAAAATATTTAAGTCATTCTTTCCCAATAATGTGTAGGGGTATGAAGTTGCATCAAATGGAAATATAGTCAAGTTAAGTAAAATACAAGGAATTCAGAATCTCCTTATTTACTTATAACCGCTGCCAAGAAGAAGTTTGGCAGCAGAACTACTACAACCTCGATTACCGAGCATAAAAACAGTAAAAGGTAACATAACATAATTAATAACAGAATACATGTAGTGGTTTGACACTCCTACCTGTGCGCCTGGCAGCAGAACTCGCACAGGTTGAAGCAGCAGACTTCACAGCGGCTCTCCGCGCCTCCTTCGCCGCACAGGTCGCACCCCAGCGGGCCGTCCGTCACCAGGGTCTCCAGGAACACTTCGTCCAGAGCCAGGTGGTCGGTGCTCAGCCCGGCCGGTCCCGACGGGGGGAGATCCACCTCGGAGTCGCAGTCGGGACAGAGAACCGTGACGGTGACGGCGGCGTGCTCCTGCCGCTCCGCCGTGTCGCCCTCGCGTTTTTCCGCACTGCGCGAAGACAACGAGAAGGGCTCCAACTGAGCGATACAGTCCGAGCAGAAGGTGTGCAGGCACGGGAGGATTTTAGGGTCCCGGTACAACCGTTTACAAACGTTACAAACCGCCTTCGGATTCACTAAGGCTGAGTTTTGTTCATGCTCCAAGTTTAATGTTTGCTGCTCCGGGCTTTCTGTCTGCTCGGGCTGAGACATTGTGTTTCTGGAGAGTGGTGGAGCAGCAAACAAACCACTGAACACCACCAGAGACCCACCGAGCTACACAAACCCGTCAGGACCGAAAACAAACTTCAGGCTGCAAAACGTATGAAACTAACACTACACGTTGTCTACACTGGGATAACAAACATGGTTTAATTCCCCTCACTGATTTAAATCCCACCGGACAGTCCAACTTTTTTTCAGTAAAAGTTAGGCTGCGTTCACTGCACCCTGGGATATTTGACACCTCATTGACTGACAGACCAATAGGAAGCCTCTCATAAACTATGGGGTGGGGTGGTCCAAACACTTTCAGGACTCTCTGTCTGGGACTCTGACTGTCCCCATCTACTGGCAGGACAGGGCGATACGTTTTCAATAGGATGGAGATTGTTAACCGAAGGCTGCTGTAATAAAAAAGGTGTTTCAATTTGGGATTAATAAAGTACATTTGATGTATTGATGTTTGCAAGAAGCTATTCTGTTGCCAGATATAATCAAACTTTTTCCACTAATGCTTTGTTCAAGTTTTGCAAAAAACAAACAAACAGCTAAAACATTGTATTGATAATTAGTATTAATTGTTAAGAAATTGCTGAGTTTTTTAAAAAAGGCTGCTAAATCTTCTAGACATCTTACATTTAGAAAGAAAATCGTCCATGTGAAAATATTTTCGTTGCTGAATTTATTAATGAACTTAGCAAAACTAACAATAGGTTATTCAATTGATAGAAGAAAAACCTTTCTATGGTTCTAGGTCATTATATAAGCTGACCTTTTATACATTGTTTCACTAATTTATGACATTCTTCATATTATTTTTCTGGAGTTTCTCTACATGATCTAATCCATTTTACAGATGGTCAAAAAGCAACTCAAGATAATGGGAATAGAAATATTTATTGACAAATACTGTAATACACATGACAATTTCACTTTAAACATTTAGATCTGAGAAAATGTTGCTTGAGAAAATGTACCACAAGAATTACATTCTGTTACACGGTAACAACACCCACATCAATAAAGAAAACAAAAACAAACGGCATCATCTTTAGAAATGACAGATTATATGTGTTTTGAATTTGCCTAATATCTGTATTTAATTGTTATGGGGATGGATTCAGAGGTCTAAACACAAACAATTTTGAATTAATACTTTCGTTGAGTTCTCTCACTGAATGCAACACTCACACACAAGGAGAATCATACCAAGATGGAGTGTGTGTGTGTGTGTGTGTGTGTGTGTGTGTGTGTGTGTGTGTGTGTGTGTGTGTGTGTGTGTGTGTGTGTGTGTGTGTGTGTGTGTCTGTGTGTGTGTGTATTTAGGTTATAGAATACATGCAGAGGACAGTGGTCATAATGCTCAGATAAGTTGAAGCAAATGGGATTGATGCTGCGCTGTAGATAAAGTATGTGTTCCCTGAAACATCAGAATCTGGAAATGAATAAAGGAGATTCAGTTAATAATCAATATATATAATGATTTGTTGTATTTTCATGTAATGTTGTCTTAAGATGTTGCCTTTGCTTCACTATTACAACAAATTAGCATACATCAGTGAATGTATTATAACTTTTGTGCACAAATGTTTCTTAGATTTAATTAATCAGTGTTTCTCTTCCATGAAGTTAAAGGACTCGCTAGAGACACAATGATATAAGAAAATGGCCAAAACTAAAGCAGGGGCTGAACAATTCTGACTTCAGTCCGAAAGTTCAGAAAAGGACTTTTAAATCCTACATTTCCCACAATGCAACTCATTAAAGTCCTATTATTACAAACTCCCAGCCTAGTAATTGCTCTCAAGCTCCACACTAAAATGCTTTAAACAGTCTCTTTGTCACAGAAGACATGTGTATAATCAGCGTGTTACGGCTTTAAGTGTCCCTAGTGAAAAAATATAATATTTTGGACATGGGCAACTTTTAGTGACATTTGTCCCTAATGTTCGATTTTTTGAGGCGTTTACACAATCAAACTCTTTTTTTAAACTCCCTTTATTGATTTGTGGGCCAAATGTCTTGGGAGCGATTATTCCCTTGCCCCAAAAATGATTTCTCACACTAAATATCTAGCATAATCAGACATTTCTGTAAAAACATGGCATGAGGTGATAATGTCAGATTACCTGTAGCAGTAGAGACGGCGGTCACCAGGTCGTTCTGGATGCTGCAGGTGTAGGTCTGGCTGACGTTGACTGGCTGCAGTGCGCTGACTAAGCTAAAAATCCCTGCAGAGTTTTCTTCGAAGTTTGTGATTCCACTCAGGACCTGTCCGTCATTGTTAGACCACGTCACCGTGGGTTTAGGGAGCCACCTGCTCGCCACAGCAGTCAGGACGCCGTTTGAGAATTTAAATGAGGGGGCTGAAAATGCTGAGACAAAAAAAAATTAATCCATGCTGCAATGTGCATTTTCCAAGGTGTGTTAATAGTTTACAGTTGTAAAACAAGGTTTTAAATTACCAAAAAAGAAAGAAAATTAAGTATAATTAAAAATGTTTACAATACAGTCTAAGAGAATAGTAAAAGAAAACACTCAAATATAATATTTCACTGCCATATTTAGTAAGTAGGGCAGTGGGTTGGTAGATAAACACTTTATAAAAAGTAGAAAACACACTTTAATTTATGCTAACGTAAGTTCTGTTCAGTTATTAATCAACATCTGTTACACACAATGACAATATGAGAAAAGTGGTTGTTATACTGTACATCAATTAACACTTAAGATATAAATTAAGGTAAGGTAAGATAAGATAAGATAAGACAAGATAAGATAAGGTAAAATAAGATAAGATAGGTCAAATAAGAAAATATATGATAAGATTAGATTAGATATGGTAAGGTGAGATAAGATAAGATATTCTTTACTGATCACAAATTAGGTGGTTGTTTTGTCACAGCAGCAGGCAAACAAGGCATTGCAACCTGTATTGAAGGCACTTAATTAAAGGGAGATGGAGCAGGATTTGGCGGCTTCTAGCATGGACAACAAAACGTATTTTCTGCTGCCGTCTATTAAAGTGTGATACAAACTATCAAAAGTGGACAAACTATCAAAAGTGGACATACTGCTTATAAATGCTAAAAAAACGTACCTTAAGGTTAGGTGTGTTTCAATGTTGTCAGAGAGATCTATTTGAAAAGTAAACACTCATTGAAACCAGAAAGACGAGTCCTCTTACCTCCGGTTCTCAGGTTGATGTCGACCTTCCCCCCTCCCGCAGAGGAGCTGATGCTGCAGGAGTACTCCCCCGCGTCACTGCCTCTCACCCTCCTCAGCAGCAGGGAGGCGTTCCCCGAGAGTAAAGCATCGGGGAAGAGTTGAGTCCTCCCTTTAAACTGGGAGTTCTGGTCACTGAGTTTTGGAGCTCCGTCCTCATACTGGTACACAAGTCCCGTCACCCCCGTCTTCTGCCAGCTCACTGACACACCCTTCAGCCGGGCGTTCTGACTGTCTGAGTCCAGATAGCAGCTGAGGAGGGCATCTTCCCCGAGGTTAGCTATGGCCATCTTGTCTTTGCTCAGAACCTCCGTAGACCCAACTGAACCAGGCACAGACACATTATAGAGAATATCCTGATTATTAGCTTATTTAAAGGTCTCCTATTTTGCTATTTTTAGGCATATATTATGGGTCTTAGATATATACAAATATATACAAAACATGTCTATGATGTGTTTTGCTCAAAATACCAAACAGATCATGCATTTTAGACATCCCTCATGTCCCTCTGTTCCAGGCTTGTTAGAGAACTGCTGATCTGGGTCCTTAACTTGAAAAAAAACAAACAAGGGGGAGCTTGTGCCTGCTCAGAATTCTACGAGATACTCAGCTAAATAATGCCGTGATTAAACACATCAAGGATTATATCTGAAACAGTATGGTGCTCAAATGCTTTTTCTCTTGCCGGTTTACCACAAGGTGAGTTCCTTTTTTTATTTCCAGCTTTTTTACACATTCTGGGTATTTCTCAATGTCGAGGACGCTTCCTTGGTAGGACATGTCTTCTGAGTCAGGTCCTTCAGAGGCTAGGCAAGAATCCTTCCTGGCATTCGGAAAATGAAGAATGGGACAGGCTAGCAAGTGTGCAGGTGTGTTATTATGAGAGGCCCCACCTTACATTTTCAGCCACAGATTTTGGGAAATTGGTCCGTGCGCAAAGCATTGTGGGGATTTTAAGACCGCGGAGGATACACATGTGCAGCCTCGAAATTTCTCGCTACGAAGGACGCCAGGCTCGGTAGAATTCCAAGGAGGCTGGACATTGGAACAGTCCTTCGGCGGGACACGATGACGTAGCATCCTTGAAATAGTGGCTCTGGAGCATCCTTCCTTGACATTGAGAAACACCCCCTCTCTCCAGTAAAGGTTAGCTCTGAGTGAGTGTTAGCGATGCCTGCTAATGTAAACAAAGACCATATTACAGTCGGGCATTGTTTCTGATAACAACGTTTCTGCCGATAGTGCCGTGGGTCCACATTGCCGATATTACGTAATATCGGCCGCAAATCTGGATCAGCTCCGTTGTACCCCCGTTTTTAGAGATTTGGGTACGGAGGAAAAGAGAGAGAGTTTTATTTTCTGACACTTTGTGAGTTCCCTGACACACCGGGGACACACATTTCTATTTCTAATTTCTATTTCTAAAATATTTTAAAAAAAAGAAAATTAAATATAATATTTATATAAAAGACATCAAAAAGTGCATTTGGCATGATAGGTCCCCCTTAAGTCCCATGTTTTGGTATAAATGTCAGGTTTCTAAAGGATTTCTTAAAGGTTAGGGGCTCAGTCTTTGAAATGTGTCATAAAACAATATTCACTCAGAAGCTAATTTATTGATCACTGACAGGTTATCTTTTCTGTCCTAACTGGCTGTGAATTGCTCTCTTCCACAAGGGATTTTAATGTAAAACCTATGAACAAATCATGAAAAGGACAACCTCAAAAAATATAATAGGGCCCCTTTTAAAAAAGGCAGATCAGCCATAGCTAAAGGGAGTGATTTAAATATGTTTTGTTGTGAATTTAATGTGGAAAAAGCTCTATATAAAACCTGAGCCTTAAGAATCATACATATATCACAACATGTGGTGCAATTGCTTATTAGCAAATATCTACACTGAAATATTAAAACTTTTCTTGATTCTGCTTTTGCTTCTGTGTTGATAACCTGATAATCAGTAACATACTTATTAATCTTTTGCAGGGGTTGTAACAATACCCTTCGACTGGAAATCCAAACGTTACCCAATCCATTTTGTGGCCAAAACTTTATAAAACCATGTCTACATTGAATACAAAAAAGGAAGTGAAAAGGAACAAGCCACGTGTTTTCATCTCCCATGAGCATAAGTTCCCATGGCTGTCTCGACAAATAAGGTCTTAGATTGAAATTCAGCTTCACTTGAATGTAGACACAGAGGGTTTTAAACACAGCATGAACACACCCATGTATCAGGTGTGAGGATACATTAATAAATGATAAGAGGATCTCCTAATGAACAGTCTTACCTGTCAAGGCCAGGGCTAAAATGAGGATGATGACAGCCGTGAATAAAATGATGAGGGTAACCATACTGCAAGAGAAACAAAAACACAGGAAAGAGTAAGAAGAGGTCATAATGCAACCTTGAGCTAAAATCAATTTAACAATCATTTTAAAGAAGTTTATATGTGTATCAGTAAAATGCATTCAAAGCGTCAACGGTAAAAGTATTCATCCTGCAGAGAAATTACATATATATATATATATTACCCTGTGACTGACGGAATTATTTTAACTCTGAAGTATGCTAGTACGGGGTCACAAAATAAATCTGTGGGGTTGTGAAAAGATGATTTTTAAGTCTAGAAGGAACTGTTGGTTGAAACAGCCGAAAATGTTGAGAACCACCTATTTAATATCAAACAAACCTATTTAATGAAATAATATGGATTAGAAGGAGAGGTAAATAATGAATAAAGTACAAGTACATAGCACTCCAGTACAAACTTTGGGTAAATATACTTGACACTGTAACTAACTAAATGTTTCCAGTATTGAATCAACATCAATAAAGAAAAGTGGTGTTATGTAAGTACCTTTATTCTAGTATTGTTCTTAAATACCATACATTTTAAGTTACAATATACTTCTACTCCACTACATTGTAGGAGGAATAAAGTGCACTTTACTATTTATTTAATAACCATAGTGATACACTTTTACGTACAATAACTGATAGACGTGATGCAGTACTCTATCTACACATTCAAGTTATTATAAGTGGCTCAACATTGACATACGAGATCAAAATGCTCTTAAATGCATTGGCTAGTGATTAAAAACAAAATAATGTAATATTCTTTTATTATATAATGCTGTGAGGAGACATCCTGCATAATGAGTACTTTTTCTTTTGATATCATAAGTACAATTGATTGATTATATTCATTATATATTTTTGTGCTTTAGATCCAATTCAGGATTCTTTGTTTCATGAAGTATTTTTGCAACCCTATCATTTCTACCACAAGTAAACAATCTGATACTTTCCAGAAGTCCACACCTGTAGAAAATGATCTGCCCAAGGGAAGCCATGTCTGCTGAAGAAACGTCTCAAGAAGAACTCAAAATTAAATCCTGGTGTTAAGTCAAAAGTCAAGTCATAACCTTCCTCCTAAATATCCTCCATTCCTGAAAAATAATCCACACACACTTCTGCCAAACAGAGTTGTTCTACTTCCACAGAGTGACAGTCTGCTGTTTGGCCTTCCTCGCAGCACTTTAAAGAAAACGCCATGAGTAAATATTACCTTTAAGGCGTGGGCTGTCGTCACGGCAGCTCATTTATCTAATTAAAACGAAGGTGCATGCTACTTATTACCAAGCGAAGCCACCATCGATTCAGTAGCTTGTTTCCCAGAGTGGTGTTTTGTTGAATATGTTGTAAAAATGTGTAAAGTTTACTGTATGACATGGATTACGTTCTTATATAGTATTGGCTGCTGCTGGCTGCCATTTTATCAAGATAATCAGCATGCACAATCGCTAAAGAATGATAAGTACCCTGGGTTTCCTCCAATAATTTACTCAAGGTGGAGAAAATGTCAGTGTGTCACGGTGAAAATGAGTCATAGATGACCACCAGCAGGTATGACATTCAAACTATTCAATGAAGGCATGAACAAATTTAATTATTCTAAGTTTAACAGCTTTTTCTATGGAAACGTTCACACCATATAAAGCATTAACCCAATACACAAGTGAATAAAAATACATATATTAAATTAACATCTATTTTTGTTGGATCCCTTGAGATTGGAATACTTACTTCACACAGCGATGTCATGGTAAACAAAATGAAAGGCATACTATAATATCATATTTCTAAGCAAAACCAACTTAAGAGTTTTGGACATTTTTTACAAAATAAACTATTTAAAATAGGGATCAATTCCCGTGTTTCAAACAACCTGGTTTGATTGCAAATATGCTGATGCTGCAGGGAGAGAAAGAAACAAACACAATCAGCATCGGAAAGCACTGAAAACATGTACGGGATACCTCATTGACCACTGAAAATGTTTGCCAACCATCAAGTCTGCATGTGACAGATGTTGTGAAATATGCCCTCAATGCAATAAAGCGATGGGAAACAAGAAGTGGCATTAATTAAAATAAACTCTCAGACAAGAAGTTCATTTCCAACAAAGAGAGCAGTGACAGAAGCTGATTGTTATAGTTTCTGAACTCTCACCCTTTTTGATTTTAACTAAATGTTCCAAACATTTATTGTGAGAGTGCTATCATCGTTCAATTACCCATAATGATTAACCAATCAGGACACAGGATACTTCAATGTTGACCCCTATTTAACCTAAACCTTAAGACACAGACACAAGGTTACCCACACTAATATCGGTCTTAAAATAAATGCTAATTCGGTGATTTCCCCCCCCCCCCTTAAAACCTTCCTTTGGGCCAGGGGCATGAAGTGTGTGTGTGTGTGTGTGTGTGTGTGTGTATGTGTGTGTGTGTGTGTGTGTGTGTGTGTGTGTGTATGTGTGTGTGTGTGTGTGTGTATGTGTGTATTTGTGTGGTTGTGAGGCGTGCCCTACTTCACTAAGCACGATTGTTAGCAAGCGGCTAATCATCACATAGCGGTCTATAGCCAATTAAAAATGAATGTTTTTATGTCATCACCACTAATTCCACGTTTTGACCCAGGTGTCCCATCTATGTGATTATTTTGTATTATGTCTGTTGTCATTTTACCGTTGTTCCATCATTGTGCGTTCGCTAACGTCTTTATTTTCACATGCCAATCGACTCCACAATCGACACAACTCCCATTGACAAATGTCGACAAACATGGCAACATTTATGTTTAAAGCAATATTTCAGGAATTCTGCCAACATGCTTTCTTTTTGAAGGTCAAATGACAAAGTTGACAACCCTGTGCATGAACTTTCACAACATGTTAAACTACTCCTTTAGTGATGTAAATAGTACCTTAAGAAAATGTATATTAATAAAGATAATATCACCCATGTATTATATTTGTTTTAACATGATTGTAAAATTAACAGTGAAAATAACTAGCAGACCAAATGAGGATGTCGTGGATCTGGGAAAATCCTTCATTATTTGAGAAGTGAAATAAGAATACGGCTATAAAGTGCTGAGGGCTGGCACTTTGTGGTTAACATTTCTCATCCAAAAGTATTTAAAGGCAAAATGTAATGCAGAACATTCGGGCTGACACCTTTTTACCCAGAGAGAGCACCTGTTAGAACAAATCTATTTTTTATCTTCTATTAAGAAATAGAAGATAACTGGATCTGGAGATCCGGAGCTGACCCAAAATATCTCACAACTGAGCAATTCTCTTTCAGCCAGCATGCCTCTTCATTTTTCTCAGAACCTCTTGGATCTGATAACTAATGCTCTGAGTACTTTCCTGGCGATAGTTGTCTTTTTGACCCTGCAGTACATACTAGACATGGATTTTGCATGCTCATGCAGCCACACTACGAGTATACATTCTGGGGGTGTACTGTACATGGTGGCGCCTCCTGTGTTCCTCACCTGGGTTGTCAACGTGATTGAGTCTCTCCAAACAAGGCAGATTTTTTCAAGGCGGCAAACACTTATTCACAACAAGTACTGCAGATTTTGTGTTATGCAGCTTTTCAGCTTTTTCAGTCTGAATGGTGTATGGGCAGCTACTGTTCTGGTTGATGGAGATTGGTACTTTTGCCTGATGACGAACCACAATGGATCTCAGGTTGGAATTCCTTGCAAAGAAAAGCTGGACCACGAGGATGAACTTGTTAAAGCCCATTATAAATCTCAATCTATGGTAAGTAACAGCAGGCAGCACTCAAATATGTTGAAATAAAACACATGTTGTCATATATTATGTTATAATGTAGACAGTCTACAGTGTAGAAACATTTTATTTGACCACATTTGTTTTCAATAAATGTATCCATCCAAGGATTTTACATTATTGTTCAATTTAAAGAACGTTATTGTTATTTTATCTATTATTTTTAAAGTTTTCAATGGTTTTCTATTGGTACACTTCGCAAAAACTCAAATTTGCAGATGCAATATATGATACATTAATATTAAATGTCACATTAGTCCAAATAAAAAAACTCAGGAAGTTATCAAAGTTAATTATTATTACTAGGAATAATGACAGGAAAACAGTTTTTTTGTCTTTGCTCTAGTTTAAAGCTAAACTGAAATAAGGTGATGTTTATTTGCAAATGTCACAATGTAACTATCAATCATATCCGATCAAACCACATGAATAGACTAGTTTGATGTTAAACTTTTTATACATAATGAAACACTAAGGATGTTTCATTGTAACACATAATAGGCCACTTAAAGGTGGGGTAGGTAAGTTTGAGAAACCGGCTCGAGACACACTTTTTGTTATATTCCATGGAATGCTCTTAACATCCCGATAGCAATGAATATCTTAAGTGCTTTGACAAAAAATACATAAAAAAATGTCATCTGTGGAAGCCGTAGAGCTGTAAAAAGCATGACCAATCATCTGAGCCGGCCCGGTTAAAATAACTGGATGGCCTACCTGCCTGTCAGCCTTCCATCTGTGCACAAACTTATCTCGTGCCCTCATTGGTCATGTGCGTGTTTGTGTGTTGGGGGAGGGGCTCTGTAAGGAAGTGGCAGATTTCTTCCGGCTGTGTATTTTCAAATTCTAGCGCACTCAAGCTGGTTTCTCCAAAATTATCTACCCCACCTTTAAGTTTTACCTAAGTTTGACCCAAATTGAAGCTTGATTGAAACCACAAATGAAACCTACAGCTATCAAAGTTTAACTTTTTTTTCTCCAGGAAATTGGCTATTTTGTATTGGCCGGTGTACTTGCTTTTTGGATTGGTGTTGAATTGATGACATTCTGTTGTGGAGGGAAGAACTACTGCAGGGGCCTCTTCAAGCAGTGTAACACGCCTTTCTACAAAATAGTATATGAAATTCGCGTGGAAGAGGAAGCAAGAAGCCATTTGCAGGACGAGCTAACCGAGATGGCAAAAGAAAGAGCAAAAGCAATCTGTAAACCACACCTTGATAAAAATAAGCTTGGAGATAAGCAATCTAGGACCAAACTCCCCGGTTGGTTGAGACACGCAGGATTACTAAGAAGGACCAAACTCCCGGTTGGTTGAGGCACGGAAGGACCCCACTAACAAGGACCAAACTTCCCCGGTTGGTTGAGGCACGAAGGACTACTACTAAAGTAGAAGATCTGGTTTAAAATTTACGCAAAACTTTCTTTCGGCAAAAAGAATGACTACTTACAAGGACCAAACAGGTAGACACCAGGAAGAAGACTTTGGCCAACCAGGATTCCCAACCAGGAGTCCACCAAGGAGTCCAACCAGGAGTCCAACCAGGAGTCCAACCAGGAGTTTACATTTCCCAACGCTATAAAAGGTGGTCCGAAGACTTCGGAACAACAACTAGAGTAACAAATAATGA